TATTAAATGACAGCTGATAAAAAATATAATTCAGTTTTGCAAACCACCCACCGCAGTGATATTAATTTATCTAAAGACACATGCGCTCTGGCATAACATGCTATTATCACTAAACATAAGGTCAGTTACGAACAGGTTAAAATTCTTTGCAATGAAAGAAATTTCACTAAAAGACACTTTCTTGAAATGTGTTACATACTTAAACAACCGAATGCTTTCAATAAGAGAACTAACATTAGTAACTGAAGTCAAATCTATCATTCTTTAATCTTGCCGAATTATAGCAAAATATTATACCAAAGCACAGAATAATAAACAATCAGAATTCCCACTCTCAGATGCCGCCTTTGAAGTTTTTCAGCACGCGCGCCATGTTTTAGAAGGAAACACATAACGCAGATATATGATTTGTGAAGTTATGTAATTGTTTATATTTATGTTTAATTATATAATATTTATGTTTTTATATTTAACAATGTTAATATTTTATTGTATATATGTCTATGATTGCCGTAAGCCAATCAAACCGGGTTAATTTTTCTATGCACGCCACATAAACAACACTAATGGTTCCCTCTAAAACATGGCGGAACGTCTGCGCGAAGGAGATGCGCGTACTTAATTTTCCATGGAGAGTGTGCATTCTGATTGTTTATTATTCTGTGACCAAAGTATGCATTTGGAGACCTCTAACGAGGAAAAATAAAGTGAGTGTCGATAGCGGTTAAGTAGACTGTAAACCCATAATAATTATTCAAACATAAATAATTGTTCAAACCTGTACTGCTCTTGTAGTTTCATACTAACTGCGCCTATTGTATGGAATATTTCAGGAGAAAATACATATACTCCACAATTTATTAATGTTGACACATATGAACTGGGTTTTTCAACATAGTGAGTCACTTCCAAAGTCTCTTTATTTGTAACTATGCATCCATAGTTTAGAGACTGATGTCTAGTTGCTTCTGTTCCCATTATTGTAACCTGAAACATAATTAAGAAAAAAATTACACTTTATTATACAGGAGAAGATATCAAAAAAAGAGACAGTATCATGATCGACAGAAAACTAAGACAGATAATTATGGATTTTAGGGCAATTAGTGGAAAATTTCCATTTATCAAACTCACGAGCACCAAGCCAATCTATCTATATTTAACATTTACGCTCCAACAGAAGATGCAAAAGACGAAGATTGACTTAACCATATAAGAACATGATTTCGAAGAGGATACATGTAACCTTTACCTGATACAGGGTCAAATATTCCTAAATTACAGACGCACATATTTAAGTTTATAATAGGCAATTGGTGTTGTTAGTTGAAGCAAGAATGGACGACAGATACAATATTGCAGATAATGGAAAAGAGAAGGAAATTATAAGGTAGAAATGACAATGAATACAAAAAGTTGCATAAGAATGTACTACGGAAAATAAAAAGATCAAAAGAAGCATGGCTGATAGAGAAATGTACCGAAATTGAAACACTACAACGCAAGAATGACGATTGCCATATGAACAAAAAGATTAAAAAGGTACACAACACCAGAAAACAACGCAATAAGGGCATAGTTGTAGGTATTAAAGGCTAGATTTTGACTACAATTGAAGATACAATAAGAAGATGGAAATAATACATGCAAGAATTATTCGAAGATACAGCAAGAAAAATAATTGAACTAGACAATTAAACATTAGTTTGTATTTTAAGAACGATTTCCGAAGTGAAAATTGAAACGTCAATAAACGTATTTTAACCTTTAATTGTAGCTTATTCCCATTTAAATAGTAATTACTTTAAAATGCCACAAGAAAATAGCTTCAGAACAATACTATTCAATTGTAGAATACATAATATGTTTTTGAGACATTTCTAATGACTTATTTTTTTGTTATTAAGTTTTTGTTATTCGTTTGTAAAAATTATTATCTAACATGTGTCTACCTGAAGAGCTCATCAGTTTATTTTAAACTTGTTGATTAATAAATACATCAATTTCATATTTACCTTTAAATATTATTTTTTTAGAACCTTCTAGATCGCGGCGCATGTTTTTGGAATTATAATCCCTAAAGCTTGAGATGAAATAAAATTGTATATTTCATATCTTCAAAACTGCGACCGGTTGTCAAAAACCGTAATGTTGCAGAATTAGTCTTTCTTCCGCAGTAATGGCACTTCTCATTCTAGTGTTTGGTTTTGTAATTAAAGGTTTCATTAATTTCAGTAGTTTTTTAAAACACATTTCGTTTATTCGTAAGTAGTTTTTAAGAATTATGAATGAAGCAATCATGAACCAATGATGAAGAAGTGCTGCCGAAGATGAACACAACCGCAGATTTGGTCAACATCGTAAAGGGCCGTAAGCTGCAGTACTTGGGACATATTATGAGAAATCAAGGCAGATATGAAACTACAGTAGTCTCTCTTTATAACGATTCCCTATATAACGATAATTCCTCTATAACGATGAAAATAGTAAACGTTGGTTGGTTCGTTATAAGGGCAATGTATTAATTCTTTCTCTATACCGATATCGTTCTCTCTTTATAGCGATGACTCTTCACCGTTCAATAGTCGATGACAAATGTGTTATTGTGTTTAAAGTTCAGAATACCTGAGTCACGAGGGGCAAGGTCATTGTCCAGTGGTTGTTTTGTTTTGCACTTAAGGAATGCGGCCACCCATTCTACTTATTCTTATCAGAAGGTTAAGTGATTCGCTTTTGTTTCGGGCGGCGTGCTAATTGTTATCACACACATGTTGTTATCTATTGACGACTTTTCATTTTCAGTTTGAGTTGTGTCGCAGTGTGTCAACAGTCAATATGTTTTCAAAAAAGCGTAAAATGCTCTTGGCGGAGGAAAAGTTATCGATAACTCGAGCAATAGAGAATGGTGAAAAGCAATCGGATGTCGTTCGCCGTATGGGGCTGTCTCACTCAACGGTAGCTACGATATGGAAGGATAGAAAAAACGGGTTTGAAACGAGATGGAGAGCGGTAGCAGGAATAAGTTGCGGAAACCTCTGAAAGATTTAGATCGCGCTATGCTTCAGTGGTTCCAGCAGCAGCGTATGAACCATATTCCACTTTCTGGACCTGAGGTCGGGACATAAGCTGAATTTTTTTGCAACTTAGATTGGAATGAGAATTTCAAGGCATCTGAGGGTTGGCTGAGCAAGTGGAAGCTGCAACATAAGATCAACTACGGGCAAATAAGCGGAGAGGCTCACGATGTTAACAAAACGTAACGGCACGATATGCGCCAGACGACATTTTCAATGCCGATGAGACTGGATTGCGTTTTAAAATGACACCAAACAGAACTTTAAATTTAAATCGAAAATGTGCGTTGGTCGAAAGCTCTCTAAGGAACGCATTACAGTTTTAGTGGCCGCTAACATTGTTAGTGATAGGGAAGTTGAAAAACACACGTTGCTTTAAAAACATAAAAAATCTACCGGTGACCTATAAAGCAAACAAGAGTGCATGGATGACATCGGAAATTTTTGAAGAAGCGATAAGAAAGTGAGATATCGAGCTTAAAGGAAAAAAAATTCTTCTGCTTGTAGACAATTGTCCTACTCATCCTGTACTGTGTACTTCAAAACATTGAACTTTGTTTTCTGCCAGAAAACACAACGAATGTACTTCAACCCATGGACCAAAGTGTCATCAAGAGTTTGAAAAGCCATTATAGGAGAAGACTTTTGATGGAATTGGTTGAGAACAATTTCGATCTTAAACTAAACATTCTTGACGCCATCCTAATTGTTAGTAAATCCTGGAACGATGTGACGAGCAAAAACAATAAAACATTCCTTCAAACACGTAGGATGGCTGATCAAGGATTGACTGATGATGAAGATGACCTGCCATTAGATGTTTGGGCCAGACAGTTTGAACTTACTATCACCTACGGACCGGAAGAACTAACAGATTTTGAAGAAGTTGATGAAAATGTAGCTAGAACATCTGGACTTTCTGACAAGGACATCCTACACGCAGTTCGTATAGAAGAAGAAGTAAACAGTGACCCGGAAGTGGAAGCAGAGCCCAGCAGGCATTGGACAAAATTACTGCATCATCCATCAGGAAGACGATATGAGTGCCGTTGAAGATTATATGAGTCTTCAGGACAAGCTCAGGTCAGTTCTGTGGAAAGGGAAACAGACCAAAGTGACAAACTTTTTTAGTAATGTAGGGTAAATATATTTTACAGTAAAATATTATTTTGTTATTGTACAGTACACAGTTTTAATTGTAAAGTCATTTTTTTATACTGTATTGCTTATATTATTCTTTAATAAATCTATGTGGTGTACAATACAGTGTTAATTCATCTATATTCATTTTGATAAATTTTTTAAATTAAAATAGGTTATTTAGTACAGTATTATTAATATTACAGTACCGAATATTGTTTCTCTCTGTATAACGATCTCTCCTTATAACGATGAAAACTCCCGGTCCCTTGCATATCGTTATAAAGAGAGAGGACTGTACTTCAATGCCTTTTGCAGGGTAAAATTAAAGGAAAAAGGGCCCCATGATGAAGAAGAATATCCTGGTTTGCTAACCTGAAAGCATGGTATAGAAAGACCTCAACACAGCGATTTCGTATAGCAACCAACAAAGTCATCATAGCCAGAATGTTCGCCAACGTTAGGAACGAACAGGCACCCTAAGAAGAAGAAGTTTTTATAATCGTCCCTACAGGAAAGCTTTAATTCTGACATAAGTGACGTGTGAAATAACCTATTTTCTTTCATCAGCCAGTTTTTAACCTAGAAAGTTCTTTTCTTTTTTATTATTATTAAGGCACACGCTTTTTTTCGCAAGAGGGACATTCTTTCTCATCGATAACTGCACTGTGTGTGTGGTAAAGAATTGCAATTTACTTCTTCTTCTTTTTGTGCCACTCCTATCGGAGATTGGAAATCATCAAGGCTATTCTGACCTTGTTTACGGCTGACCTAAAGAGTTCATTAGTGGTGCAGCCAAACCACTCTCTCAAATTCCGCAACCATGACATTCTTCTACGGCCTGGATTCCGTTTTCCTTCTATTTTTCCCTGCATTATATTTTGAAGTAATGCGTATTTATGTCCTCTCATCAGGTGACCAAAATATTCGAGTTTTCTTCGCTTTAGCGTTAACAAAATCTCTGGGTCTTTTCCTATTCTTGGTATTACTTCACAGTTTGTTATTCTTTCAACCCAACTAATCTTCAGCATTCGACGGTAGCACCACATCTCGAAACTTTCAATATTTTTCATGTTGTTCTGTTTGAGAGTCCAGGCCTCTACACCGTATAATAGCGTGTTAAATACATAGCCTCTCAGCATTCTTAATCGTAGAGGGATGCTTATATTTCTGTTGCAGAAGAATTTTCTCATCTTTATGAAGGTGGCCCTGGCAATTTCGATACGTCTTTTTATTTCACTGTTTTGGTCTCCAGTTTCGTTTTATTAAAGATCTTTATGCATCTTTATTAAAGATGCAATTTACTACAGATCTTTAACTGAAGGCAATGGTCGTCGGATAACGAACTTCTCAAGTGAGTGGCCAGTATAATTATTAGTTAGAATACAACACACATACACAATACACGAACATTAACATATACACAAACGCTATAGCACATATTAATAATGCAGAACACTTATGGCTCCTCTACAAATACGCAGAAGCGTCCGCGGACGACATCTACGTATGCATCGGGAGATGTGTAGATGGGGGTAATTTGATCATCTGTTGTTTAAATATCACGTCCGCGGATGCTTCTGCAAGATATCCGACTGTTGTCGATTATTTAGCACAGATCAAAGGGTTTCGCTGGGATGTCCGACGCCTTCTACACATCTCACCTCTGACTTCTTCTTTTTTATTTTTTTTTATTCTATTCTGATGTACGAAGTAGTAGTTAAACGTTCTAATAGACTATAGCTGCAGCAACTATGATCTCAACATCCATTTTTTTAATGCTCGCGTATATATTGCGTCTTCCGGGAATTAACACAGACTGAATGATTTACAGATGTGTCCAGATGTGTGGTCAGCTTGTGATGATACATCTGCAGATGCGTCTGCAGACGCGTCTGCCTATGTGTAGTTGAGGCATTAGAATAATCAAAATTTAAAGTTCCATACGACAAAAAATCCACCCTCATATATTTTTATCATGGCTGTTGCCTAACACCGCGGTCAAGTTGGTCAACAGTAATTTTATGAAATGACATAACCTCGTCAACAACGTTGGTGGTTATACACTCCTTTTAACAAATTTCTGAAATATCTTTTTTGAAAACGACTTCTGGTGTAGAAATCGAAACATTAAATTTTTAGTTAAAAATGTAATTATCATTAAAATCAATTGTAATGTCATGTAAACACAATGGACGTGGACCAGCCCAAATGGAGAATACAAGAACCAAATCGATTACATATTGATTAGAACCAGATGGAAGACATGTTTTACAGACGTAAAAACTAGACCAAGAGTTGAATGTGGATCCGATCATAAATTGTTATGGGCTTAAGAACAATGCCACACCAAAATCAAAATAGTCTGGAGAGTTCAAATCCGAAAACATTAAGAGATGCTTTAAAGGAAACTAGTATGTTGAACACACAAGACAACCAGAAGAAATCTGAAAAATAATGCCATAGAAACCTCTGTAGAAAGAACCAGAACCGAAAAAAAGATCATCAAAAGAAAACACTGGATGACAGACAGAACGCTGTAACTCTCGAAGAGCGAAGGAGAATCAAATCTCTCATATATCAAAACGACAGCAATAAAAAATGAAGAATGCGAAGAACTAAAGAGACATGCAGACCGATATGAATCCCATGAGCTATATAACAAAGTCCGATATCTATCCAGGGAATTTAAACCAATCACACAAACAATAATGGATCAAAATCAACATATTATAAATGACGAGAAAGGGATTGCGGAGGTATAGAGAAAATATTGTCAAAGTATATATGCAGATGATCCCCAGAATGCAAATCACGACGAGTTCACTGCAGAGAGAGAACCAAACATTCTAAAGTCATAGGTAGAAAAAGCAATCAAAAAGTTAAAAAATAGAAAATCTCCTGGCGCAGACCAGATCATCGCAGAAGTTTTAAAAGAGACTGGAGATGTTGGAGTAAATGTTATGCATACGATCTGCAAAAAGATTTGGGAAACCGGAGAGTGGCCCAACGACTAGACAACATCTACTTTCATCACTATATTCAAAACAGGAACTCCGCTAGATTGCAGCAACTACAGAACGGTAACACTAATATCCCATGCAAGCAAGGTTCTACTTCATGTAATACATGAAAGACTAAAAGCTTTTCTATTGCCTCAGATATCAGAACAAGAGGGATTTGTCTCAGGAAAAGGCACAAGCGAACACATTCTTAAAGTCTACAAATTAGAAGTCTATACGAAAATAATCACAGTATATACAAGATAATAATCTAATAAGTGCACAGTAAAAATAAACAACACTCAATCCGATCATTTTAGAACAGAGGTAGGTGTCAGGCAGGGATGCATAATCTCGCCAACTCTGTTTAATATCTACAGCGAACACATTATGCGAAAGGTACTAGACGGATGGAAGGGTGGAATATCAGAAGGAGGTCAAAAAATCAGTAACTTGAGATATGCTGATGACACTTTAATAATCGCGGCAAATCAATAAGAAATGGAATAATCTTCAACACATTAAAGAAATTGTGGGCTTTGAAGTAATAAATAGTTTCATATACCTAGGGGCCTAATAACAAATGACGGAGGGTGTGACAGAGAGATACGTAGAAGGTTGATTATTGATAGAACAGCTATGATGAAACTGGTAACAATTTGGAAAAATTCTAGCATAATAATACACACAAAACTAAGGCTGGTAAGGGCACTCATTTTCCATATGCATCCGAAAAGTTTATCTTAAAGAAGCGGATAAAAAAAAACTACACGCTAAAAATATCCTGATTGATCATCGCACTAACGTATCGATATTAGTAAGTAACAACTAAGTAAGTTAACAACTTGAAGTAAAGGACAGATTGCTTAAACAAATACAACAGAAATCATCATCATCATCTTGGTGCTACAGCCCTTAGAGGGCCTCGACCTTCTCAAGCTTTCTACACCATTCAGTTCTGTCCATTGCTTACATTTTCCAGTTGCCGACTCCGTTCTTCTCTGCATCTTGTGTTACTCCATCCATCCACCTCAGCTTTGGTCTACCTCGTCTTCTCATTCCCACGGGTTGCGCTGTTAGAATCTTTTTTATCATGTTCGATTCAGGGGCCCGGGCTACATGTCCTGCCCACTGCAGGCGATTTCGCTTAATTATAGTGGTAATATCTTTACCACCAAACGTATGCTTGTAGATATACTGCCGTTATATCTACGCCTATATATTCCGTTCTCACAGACCGCTCCGAATATCTTGCGTAGCACCTTTCTTTCAAGAATGGATAGAGCGGATTCATCTGTTTTCGTTAGCGTCCATGCCTCTGATCCATATGTGAGAGCGGGGACTATCAGTGTTCTATACAGCCTTATACGAGTTTTTTCAGACAGACGTTTGTTAGCTAAGTACTTTGATAGACCATGATAACACCTGTTTGCAATTATTATTCGCCTTTTTATTTCCTCAGATGTGTTATTATTGGGGTTAACCGATGTCCCTAGATATATGAACTCTTTGACTGCTTCGCAGTTTTGGTCATTGATGATTAAATTTGTGTCAACATTTCCAGCTCTTGTGTTTGTGTTAGTCGCCATGAATTTGGTTTTATTTTGATTTATATGTAACCCCATTCGTTCTGCTGCTGCTACTAGCTCGGTTAGGATTTCCGCAGTTCTCGCCCTAGTTCTTGTTATAATGTCCACGTCGTCTGCATATGCTAGAATTTTGACTGATCTATTAAGTATTGTTTCCCTGCTATCTAAATTAGCGTCTCGTACAACTTTTTCTAAGGAGACATTAAAAAACTGACACGCCAGCGCATCTCCCTGCCTTAACCCCCAATGTATTTGAAATGGGGTTGACTAGTCGTTTTGAATTTTTACTGCTGAAACATCTTCACCATTGTCACTTTTATCAAATACAACAGAAATATTTGCAGTATTTTAAACACATTGCTAGAAGAACAGGTACGATGGAAAAACTGATAGTCGAGGGTAGAGTTGAAGGAAAGAGATCTAGGGGAAGATTTCCAAGCCGTTGGGTAGATCAAACAAAAATATTGATTAACCAAGGGTTACATGAAGCCGAACAACTAGCCCAGGACAGATAAGGATGGAGGGAAATCGTGAAAAAACTGTGAAGGTCTGATGGTGTGACCACATCCCAAAAGGGATTAGGACTGAGGAGGAGGTAAACACAATCTTTACATAGATTTTTGAAGTATACTCATATGTGTATAAGTGTATAAATAGACTAGATTATATTATTATATTGAGTGATCTGAATGAGCATTTTATAAATACCTACATTTTTCTTCGAAACCCTAAATTTAATTAAAATTTAACAAAACACTTACTAATGCTTTTTTGCCAGATTTTGCCCATGTTTCTTTGTGAAATTGGTAAAGTTCAGCTAAGGGAAAATCCGAACATACATCACCATTCATTACAAAAAATGCCTCTGGATTTCCAAATCTAATTTGATCTCTAAAATGGTACAAGCCACCAGCTGTACCTAATGCCACATATTCTTGGAGGTATCTGCAAATATAATTTTTTTTTATTAAAAATATTGTTAAAAAAATTACTCTGTGACCACAGGGTACAGGTAGTAGCGCTTCTCGCTCGGCGAGAATTTTAAGAATCTCTTTGATTGTACATACAGCTATAAGGAAATGAATGAATCTCTTATATTATGAGAATACTTGGTTTCTGTACAGAAACGAAGTAGTGATAGCAAACCTCCAGAAATGGAGTGCACCAAAAGAAGAAGAAACCTCCTTTGTTTTGTACATTTTATTTGTTTCCCATCATAAAATTTCTACAGTGTTGGTTCACTCCCAAGTGATATATCGTTGTTCAGAAAACCTTGTATCTCAAAATTAGCATATTTTGGGAAATCACTTAAAATTTCGCATAGTAGAAAATACAACTTTTAAAGTTTAGTTTTTTCACTGAAATGTGGGTGAAATGCTTAAATTTAAAGAAAATGAGGTTTTTATTTTTTTTTGACAAAAAACGTGAGATTCAAATTTTGAAATTCAAATGGTATTTTTATTTAAGGACTTACGTTTTGGTAGCAAATTATCATCCCGCTTACGCTTTTTTTCACACACAACAAACAACATGGCGGTGGAAAAATAAAACGTTTATTTTTATAAAATATATCATTTTTGTAACATGAAATAACTAAATGCTCACTTAAATGTTCCATAGGTAAATTTCAGAGCCTGTCACTCAAAACATTTTGATAAATCGAAAAAAGCTGCCGGATCCATATTTATATTAATATACTTTTAAAAATAAAAATTGTTATTTTTTGTAGCAATTATTTGTTTAAAACTCTTATCATAATATCCTTCTCACAATATAAGGCAAGTGTATTTGCGTATCTTCCTTTTATGGATATTATCACTCCGCTCATTAGGAATGTCACATGGAAGTAGCCGAACATTTAGTAAAACTCTCACATTAGTTTTGAGATTGTCAATAATAGGATTCGAAAAACTGTACTGTTACATATAAATTATGATTTTATATTTGTATAAAAATGATGGAATATATGCCATAGAAATTGTTAAAATCCAAAGTTGTGATACAATATTTATGGTGAGGTTGGTTGCCTATGTGGGACATTATAAAATGAGTGTATATTTATACACTGTTGACTGTTGTTTGAAGCGATTTAATTTTTTGTTGATTCCATTTAACGAGACGTTGCAATGTGCCCAGATTTTTTGCAGTTATACCAGGCCAAACCTTCTTGAGATACGAATATTCGATATGTTGTATTATCGAAATCTTAAGTGAATGTGTCGGGTAAGGAGATAATAGGACTAACGTATATTTGTCTTCACCATCATCTTCATTCAGGCTTTAAAACCCTGCGTGGGTTCTAGCCTCCTCAAGAATTTTCTCTCCATCACTTTTCTCCGCCAAGCACGTATTTATATTTCTCATGTCTTCATCGATGTTATCAAGGAACCTTGTTCTGGGTGTTCCTCTTCTTCTCTGACCATGGGTCTATCAAGGAGCGTTTTTCTAGCTGGGTCATTTTGTTCATCCGCATTACATGCCCTATCCACCTCTTACGTCCTATCTTAAAATGTTTTAAAATATCAGGTTCCTGGTATATTCTATAAAGTTCGAAGTTTTATCGTCTTCTCAACACTCCATTGTCATTCACTGCTCCATACATTAGAACTGGGCGTATTATTGTCTTGTAGTAGAGTTTTATTTTTGTATTTCTCGATATAATTGTGGATTTAACAAGGAGATTGAGTAAAAATAGCATCTGTTGGTCATCAAAATTCTGCGGTTTATCTCTCTCTAGTATTATTTTCAGTGATAAGAAGCGCTTGTAACGAGAACGTTACTTTAATATTTCGTAAACATTTTTAAATAAATTTTAGAATCCCGATCCTCTTAATGACTTTCTGAATTTTAAAATTTAAGTTGGTAGTAAGCAACGCCATCTACGACGCTGTAAGGGCCATGACCATCGGTCTAATAATTAGCGATCATTCGGGTTTTGACTTTTTGAGAAAGAACATCGTTTAACAGGGTAGGTGACAGCAGCCGGCTAAATATATTTTAAGAATAATAATTTTGTTGGGGAAGGAAGAATAGTTTTTTAGTTGTTTGATAGTGTTTAATCGTTAATTTAGAAGCCGCTACTAGTCGGTGAGTTGATAACTATAAATTCGATTATAAATAAAAAGTGTAAAAACTATCAGCCATTTTATCTTCTATAATATCGTCACTTTTTCTCCGATAGTGCAATATCTATCTATCATTTCTCACATTATTTCCTTAAGAACCATTCTGGATTTATATATAATACTGTTATAAAATCATACCAATTTTCTATTTTATTTTCCAGCTTTAAAAACATATGATTATCCATCGTAGATTATCTATTATCTATTAAAACTATCTGTAAAAATATTCCGCCTTATGCCGTCCTTTTATATTCAAAAATATATCCGTGTATCCAAAAATATTTCCTTAAAATTATCGATTTTATCAATTTATTTAACATCAAATGAGGACCCTAGAGGAAAACGGTATAAGTGACAAAAAGTAAATTTCGAGGTAAACGCGATTCAAAGTTCAAAAAACATGATTTTATTAACATTACTCATTTTGGAGCCATTTTTAGGCTACCAAGTAGCACTTGTACCCCTGTACTTCTAAAAATTGTAACATAAAGCAAAATAATTTAAAATATTATAAAGTTTTTGTACAAATTTATTCTTTACCATAACACTAATACATAATTGATTTATAATTCATCGGCATCAGTGTTGTAATGATGTTCGAACTCGTTATTTTCGACTTCCGCTTCTTCTGAGTGTATAAGTTCTCTAGCTTGTTGACCATCATGTCGCAGATTTGTGAAAAAATTCATGGTAAATTGGAGGTACGTAGCTAAGCAGCTGTTGCAGATTTGAATACTTGGCCTGTTTAATTAGAGGCCTTCTGTCAATCGATACTGGTAAGAGATCTAGCAGAAGGACAGGGTTTTTGCCAAATCGAGTGGATTTCATAGATAGCTCACTAAACTCTTCCATGCTACCTCCAATGATTTCTTGTAAAACAGGGTTAAAGGTTTGTCCTGCTGAAAATGTAACCATTGCATACTCTGTATTCTACTTACGTTATTCTTGAAGTATGGCGCAAGTGTTTGAAAATCTAAAAAATCGTCATTTTCCATCTGTACTGTAAAGAACTTTCTACTTGTAGAAGTTACCAGTTCCATCCAATGTTGTAGTACATACAGGTCCTTTTTGGTTCTTTTCTTTTTTAATCTATTAAACCAAAATGTTGGTCACGCTTTGGTCATTTTCATCTGTACTGTAAAGAACTTTCTACTTGTAGAAGTTACCAGTTCCATCCAATGTTGTAGTACATACAGGTCCTTTTTGGTTCTTTCTTTTTTAACTCTATTAAACCAAAATGTTGGTCACGCTCATTATAAAAATGGCCACTTATAAAAAATCGATTATCCACTGTTTGAATATTAGTATTTCTGACAATGTAAAGCCAAAATTTGACTGTCAGATGACCCTTGTTTTGACCTCCACAGTTGTCGCCAAATGCAGTTATTGTGTTTTACAGATGGGGGAAGGCTTCTGATATATTTTAGGAGACAAGATGATATTTCCTGACATCCACGTGACGCCTGACCTTCGTGCCACATAGAAGTGGGTCGTTCCATTCTGTAGGTTATGGACCCCTAAGTTATAAGTCCACAATTGCCTTAGATAGTATGCTTTAGAAGTTGACACATTGGGAGTTGGCATAGTTTTCTGTAAGTCGAAAATGAACGCAACTTTGCTAGCATCCTTTAGGTCATGAAACTCTTCTTTTGCTATTCTGACAACTTCCGCCTTACGCAAGTGTAAGTCTTTTTCTCTCTGAGCTAAATCTTTTTTTCTTCTGACAAACCGTTATTAATTTTTATCTGAAATTAGTATTCCTTAACTTACCTTCAGTTTTTAAGTTACGTACATCCATCTCGTTCAAAGCTTCAAACAAACAGCACGAACTCTTCTTAAAAGCACTGTAGTTAGTAATAACGTAAAACACTGCAGTTTACAATAAAGTAATACTTTAATGACAAAGTAATATTGCTTTAGAAGAGCTATTCCACTACCCATCCGAAATAATAACAAACTCAACTAACAGTCTGACACAGTGGAACAGGGGTACAAGCGAACTCGTATCTTTTCTCCTCCAAGCCCTACTCATAGTTGGCTTGGAGGTTAAGTAACTTGTCGCTAGAAAGCAGCACCTGTTAGATTTATCGCTTAGATCTCTTTACCACCAAATAGAATGAAATATTTCCAGTTCGTAGTGCATTTACCTCAATATTTACAAAAATGTCACTTATATCCCTTTTCCGCTAGGGTCCTCAAATAGTGTTAGACTTTTTTGCTTAACTTTTTGTATATTTTTTCCCATCTTTTTATTAAGTGTAACACAAGTGTTCTTTTTATCAAAAAATATTCCTTAAAATTATCGATTTCATCAATTTATTTTACATCAAATAGTGTTAGACTTTTTTGCTAAACTTTTTGTCATATTTTTTCTCATCTTTTTATTAAGTGTAAGAAGGAATTGTAACACAAGTGTTTTTTTTTAGCCTACCCCCAAGAAGTTAAATCCTGAATCAAGGATTTCATTTTATTTAATTTTGTTGGGGAAATAAATTACACTCAGAAAAGAGATTACGTTAGAATTTGCCATTTGCCGACTGATCCATCAGTGGTCCATAGCTCTCCCGACTACTCTTGGACCAATTCCGGATACCAGCTGAAAGACCTCCCTTATTTAGAGGGTGGAACCTTCTTAATTTCTATATGGTTTTTTTTTATTAATTTAATTATTTTGGTCATATTTTTCTTTTAATTATAAACATTAATATTTCACTTAATAATAAGACTTGTCATTTTTTTCTAAATATTTATAAAATCACATAAGTATTAATTTTTTTTTACGTTCAGGTTGAGGTTTTAAATCCTCCCTTGTAACTCGGT